GACTGGGAACGTCAACTGCCTTGTCTTAGTGTGGGCTATCTGATTACCAAATGTTTTTGTAAACTTAGGCACACTGGAGAAGAAGATTAGAAAGTGAGAGTGCTGAAGCTTAGGATTGAGAAAGATAGTATACACCATCAGGCGGATCAAGATCTAGTGTAAGAGTTAGCCGTTTTTTTTTTTTTTTCATCTAGGTTGATGCAAGTTTACACTCCCTCACCAACTCAGTGAATTCTGGCTCTTGGGGAACGATTTGTGGTCGCAGCTGACTAGACTTTCCATGGCAGGGTTTAAAATCCTTACTGGGATATACCGCTGAATTTCAGATGTCAAAAATGATTTTTCCTGTGTCCAGGGACAAATTCCGTTATCGGGGGAACATTTACTTATTGTTTCCCATGACAGAAACAAAAAGAGCAGCATTCTTGGCCAAAAAATCTGTGATGTCACATCTGCCTGAACAGGAAAAGACAGGAAGGTCAGTGTATTTCTGAATCAAATAGATGTATTTTCTGGTTCATTACCAACCTCAGTCTCCAATTTATGGTCAGTGGAGTAGCTCCAGACTGTGGATCTAAGTGGTATTACAGATTAATGTTTTAGCTGTCTGGCTTTGAGAGTTACTTGGTTATTTAGATCCAAAATATCCAGTGAGCCATGACATATATAAATACTTAAAATGAGCACTATTTCCCTTTCAATGCCACCCATGAATAGTCCACTGACCTAAGAGTTTAGCTACACATACAAGACAGGAAGAAAAAACAAGAGCCCCTAGATCAAAATAGTGGGGAAATACAAATCCTCACATCATTATTCCAGTGTAAAGTTGCACAAAATAAGTTGTAGTGTCATATCTTTTAGTCTGTTGAGTGAGCATGTGCATGTTTGTGGGCATGTCTCTACAAATATACAGTATGTGTCGGAAGCAGGCGAGAGACCAAGAGCGAGAGTGTCCTAACTTCTGCATATTCAGCCTTCTCCGTGGTGTTTGGTAACAGTATCCCCAGGTCGGAAGTGCAAATCCAGCTGCTGCGAAGTGGCCATAAATTCGATTTTCTGAAACTTGGTGCAGACAGGATCTCCAGTGTGTCGTTCACCGGAGCGCGCTCGCCCGCTGCAGCTTTCATTATTATTACCTAAATCCCTTAAACGTCGCTGATCGATTGTCACATACCTCAAATTATCTCTATTGGCAATCAGCTCTTTTGTCTGCTGCAGGGCTGCTTTCCTGCAAGTCAAAGCAAAAAGTTAGTTTCAGTTCAACTTGAACTTCCAGCAGTGCAATTTATCTCTTTTAGAAAAGCAGAGACATGTTGAAAACATTATAACTCATGCTTTTGCTCTCTGAGCCTAGAGGTTAGTGTGATGTGCCTGCTGAAAGCTTTTCCAAATCACAGAGAAATCAACTGAGTAAGTTCAGATTTTTGCAGCTGCTTTCTATTCCTCAACGTGCAGAGTAATTCCAAACAGTTTATTTTCTATCCAGCCACTTCAGCCCCCAAGGTCATTTGCTTTTTCTCTTTCTAAACAGGCAGAATTCTCACATGTCCTGTCTTGGTGGTACTCCACTCAGTCTAATTCGCTATGCTGGTCTGTTCTTCCCCAGAGTTTTCAGATGTGTCAGGGTTCCTTCAATTTACAGACCTCATCTTTTGCCTGAGATCTTCTGATAATGAAATAACAGGGCCGGTTTCAGCTGCATGCAGCCTTTCACACAGACTACACAGCTAACAGCTGAACATTCAGTGTATTATATCTTTTCTAATTTAAGATTCAGAGACTGCACAAACAGTAAAGTGCTTTTAGTGTGAGTTGCATGTGGTTAAATGTTTGTGCATATAAACACTATAATTCTAAATGTCCTACATGATGAAATACAAACTTGAAAGAGGATGATGAGTCAGAGAAGAGACAAAACACCAGCCACCATATCTTCAATTAGCTGGGGGTAAAGGAGGGCATTATGGCCAGTGTCTGTGTGGCTGCTTGGGGGGCCGTGCTTTGTGCCCAGGCCCTCAGGGTACCAGTAGCAGGATGGGCCCGAGCATCCGCTGAGAGGATGACCCCAGCTATCCCTGTGTAGTTTGGCTTGTACAGCTGTATCTTATTGGACAGGAACAAAGGGCTGCACTGCACCAGGGGGTTTAGCATTCAAGAGATAGAAGAACGGATCCTCTTAGACAAGACTCACAACTCCTATATTTTTACTATATAAATAGTCTATATTCACCACACTGAGAATGATGGGGAAAACGTTTGAAAGAACATGTGTTTAAATGTGCAAAATGTTCATTTGTGTTCCTGCAAGACGAGTTAATCTTGACGTTTTACCATCACTGCAATTGTTAATGTACATTTTCAGACTTATTTTCTAGTATAAGAGAGTATAGAGTATTGTGGTTTGTACTGTAGTCCTGTAAGCAACAAGAACAAACTCTTACATTTAATCATTGTACTGGTCAACTGAATAGTCCTTTATGTAAAATCACTAAAAAGAAAAGAAAAAAGGAAAGGAGTTTTGCTCAGAGTCTGTTGAACTTTTAGTTCTTTGTTCATGGTCTGCAGAAATGTTTGTCAATGCAAATGAAAACTTGTATTGTTTATCTGAATTTTTGTTATCAGGCAACAGTGGATGCTGCCTGATAAATTTAAATATCTATCTATCTATCTATCTATCTATCTATCTATCTATCTATCTATCTGTCTATCTGTCTGTCTGTCTGTCTGTCTATTATTTCACGTTGTTTGGGGCTTCTGGAAAATACAGAGAGTACCAATATCCTTCACACTGACTTATTTGTAAAAACCTATTAAATATCATAGTCCAACAAATCCTTCTGACACCCCTGAAAGCAACAGGGAAATATGAGCACGTTAAACTGGATATGATTTCTGCAACTGTCACCCATTCCCTCAGCTGAACTGCAAAAATAGATTGATTTATTGTGAGGAGCTCAGAAAAAAACGCGGTTTTTCTGAGCTCCTCACAATAAATCAAGTAGTTGATTATGGAGTACTTTCATAAGCATTTATCCAGTATATAGCTGACAGGTTCCGTCCAAAAAATGTGAGAAAGCTTGTAGGCTACCGGAGACCTCCTGTGCGTCAGGAGTGTTCTCATCTGATGCGCTGGAGACGGAGGCCGCTGCCAAAGCCGCAGGTCCTGTCTGGAGCCTCAGGATTACAGACCTGTGTGTGTGAGTGTCTGTCTGTACCTCTGTCACAATGCCAGAGCAATCACTGTCACACACGAATGTAAAGGCTGCAACATTTACTAAGAATGATACAATTTATCACCACTATCTTAACAAAAGTCGAATGCGCTGTTAGAAATGTACGTTTTCGCCATCGAACATCCTTTTTTAGTTTTAATAAATGTAGGCTGTATATGGTAGTAGGCTACTTGTTGTTATGGAAAAAGTTCTGTAATATTGCCTTAACTTAAAACGTGAGGGAAAAATATATTATGCGTTATTCCCCCACAATTTTAAAACGGAGACCAAGCTGTTGGCTTGGCGAGGCCTATTTATGATAGGCTAAAGGCTAACGTCTTCAAATATTGTAAACACAAAGGAGTAATTTCACTAATTTTGTAGGCTATTTCGTTTAGCAATAGCTTCATAATCTATTTAAATTAAATTCCTCTCAGACATATCAGAGCGGACATATTTCAGTTCTCTCAATTCTTATCAATTCAAAATAATTAGCCAACAATAATCAGAGTTCAGATAAAAGGCTACATTTGGCCAATAAAAATTAGCCACGCAAATATTTTCTCACTCTAAGTCGTTATTAATAAGCAATGGAAAGATTAAAACCAGAAAAGACGCTTGTTTCCTACAATCACCAGTGAATAACGATCTTATCTCCGGGAAATTGTGCCAAAATGAATCTAGCCTACTGGAGATGTAACTAAGGGTAGTTTATAAGCTAAAACAATAATCTGCTTCTGTTCACTTTGATAGAGACGGTGAAAAAAAGAAACTGGCCACTAATGCGTGTTAAAGTAGCCTATTTATGGCCAAATTTGAAACTGAAAACAATGACAAATTCTGCTGAATTCTGTTTATTTAAATATCCGTTTATTAGTTAGTCCATGCCTGTGTCCAACTTAGGCCTAATTAGGCTACAAACCAAATTTATATGTCTACCTATTTTCACTATTTAGGCATCAATTTCACTGTAATGTCAGGTTTTAACTTGCATGAGTAAAATAATAACAGGCGTTTGTAAATTGGTTAAATGATACAAGCTTTGTTCTATTTGGATATACTAAGTAGGCTTACCATATAAAATAAATAAATACTAAGTTGCAACAACTAATTTAAATTCCCCATCATTATAGCATGATTGATTAATTGTTCTATTTTTTAAATACATTTTTAAATAAAGCTTCACTATTGTGGGCTGACAACTGAACACCCGATTAAACGTTCTTCCTTGAACACAGGCGCAGCATGTGTTGATAACATGAACACATTTAATCTACTCACCGGAAACCCGCAGTGGATGACGATGATGAGGACCCGAGGAGGTTCCTGTTGGTCCTCTGGCTCTGGACAATGACAATTCCATTATCTTAAATCCATGCTGTCCATCCCACAATTAATTTAACTCCTTAGGCCTACATTAGCCGAATATCCCCATTATATCTCTGCGGATATAAAATCAGAATCATAGGCTGATTTATGACCTACCTTGACCTTGGCCAATAATATGTCAGACAAATAGCTGAGGCTACATTTTCCCAAAGAAATGCAGATTAGGCTTTCACCTCAAAAAAACTGCCTTTATTGGCAGTTTCTAATCCAATGCTATCTTATATTAACCTGCGTCAATGATGAGGTTGATTAGGCTATTAGCCAGCTGAATTTTAACTTCAATACTATCTAAGGTCATATGATGATGATCCATAATGAAATAAAGTGTGCTAAAAGTGGGATTTGTGTTTATATGATATAGCTATTAATATGAACAATACAAATTAAATGTGGTCTAATATTTTGTCACACATGCTGACAGTAAACAAAAGGAAATAGCAAGACTATTTTTTAGTGCACTCTATTACGCATGCGTCCACGCGCAGGCCTCTTAGCTTTGTCCGCTACAGTCTCCGACACATTTAGGCATTATTTATTTTTAGCTCTGGCGTGTGTCCGGTGTACCGGGGCCTAGCTGATGCACCCAGGTGGTTTTACTAAGGTGCATGTTTAGGTTTTCCTGGAGATTATGAGTAAGGAGCGTGGCTGTGCTGGTCTGTCCTTCATTAAGAGCTAGTCAGAGCAGAGGCATTTATCACGACAGTCTGAGCTTTCATAAACCGGTGTTCCCGCACACACACAGCATCTCTCTCTGTGAGCTACTGTGCCGAGCAAGCCTCCTCATTCAGCTCTCTGTAACAAATATGAAAGAGGTTATGTGCTCATATGAAAATGCTAAAATGTCTGAGCTTAAGCTAGCACCTGTGGGCTATGGGTCCTTCAGCTTGTTGCTATGACAACCTCAGTCAATGCAATCAAGTCAAGAGCAATTTTTTTTTGTAAGCCTATTTAAAAAAAACTGTTTGATAGGGCTCAAATAATATCTCTCATCTGTATTTATCCTAGGGCTTGGCGATATGGACCAAAAATCATATTCTGTTATTTTTAGGCTGATTTCCGATACATAATTAATATCGGTATTTTCTACAAGTGGGCTAAATGTTCAGTTGTACAAAGCCAAATTTGAGATGTAGTGTCACACATCTGATCATTTAAATCGAAAATGTGCCCAGATAACAGAACCACTGTTTTTCTTTTTACAATCTAGGTCTTCTGTGTCTCTCTCCATGTTGCAAGAGAATTTGTGAGCTAGAGGGGGTCTACGCACAGACGCAGAGGGAGAGACAGAGGACCAAACGATGGCAGGACTTTGTGGGGAAACGAATTACTTAAAGCAACATCAAACTACATTGGTCCAAACGGTATTGTCAATTTTTATATCTCTTTTGAAAACTGGCAATTTTCAGTTTTCGTGTTCTGTAGTTTATCTGTTGCAAGCCTTTTCTGTCTTGGATTTGTGCTCCCAAAGCACAAACTACAGTAAAAGTTCTAAAACTACAATAAGAAAGCACCACATAGCATGTGTTGCAGTATAAAATATTTTATGATAAATCAATCATGCAAGAACTGTGTCCAGATTTAAAATCACGAAGTATGCAGGACATGTCATTGGTCTGTCTACACTGTCAAACATCAAGGTCCTTTGGTTTGAAGATCACCAGGGGGTTAATTAGGTAGCTAAATGTGTCATGATCTTTCCAGCAGTGAAATTAAAGGAAAAACTTTCCCTTTTTAATGTTTTGTGGTTTTGCAGAGCAGTGCAGAAAAAATAATATTTTTGTACAGTAAGATTCTAAGCAAAACAATACCATCGCCCATTTGAAAAACGTTGGTCTGTTCTTCTGAAAGATACGTACCCAGCTCATCTCGTGTGTTGTGGCTGTGGATCTTGACACTCACTGGGCTCCAGTGTGCTCCATGACGCCTCGTACGAGGTCAGACAGAGGACAGCAACCCCACTTCCCATTTCCCTTTCAAAACCTCAACCCCCATCGCTACAGCAGGCCAGCTTAAGTTCCCAGAATGCACCTCTCCAGCCGGCTGACCCCCGGGTCGGCAGCTGTCAATCACATCCTCAGCTGGCTCTGGCAGCTTCTGGACATGGAGCGGAGGATGTGAGGGAGGCCTCTGAGAGGAGCACTGCCTCTGCATAAGGGATCATCTCTGTGCATTCATGGCGGGTAATTGAATTAGCTATCCTTCTCCTATTCTAATGCAAACCTCAGGTTGAATCACCACCCTGTACGTGAGAGGAAAGGCCCCAGGCAGTGATAGCCAGAGACAAAGACAGCCAGCTTGTATGAAGTACAGAGTTGTACTTCATTCTCGCTGGCTGTCTATGTTAGTGTTCATCTGGCAGGTCCATATTAATAACTTTTCCATCTACATGCTATTGGACCATCACACAGATTGTCACTGGAAAAGGTCAGATCTTTGTTTACTCTCTACACACATGACAGATTTTGTTCACTATTATAACATCATCAAATTATTACATAAACTTTTAAAAGTCTGATTTTATGTAATAAAGAAGATTAGTGCCCGATTAGTTAATTTATTTGGATTAGAGTTGTGTCTGTGTGTACACATATTATAAGATTTCCATAGAGTTCCTTTATTGATCACCCGTTGGGGAAATTCAAATTGGCCCAGCAGCAGAGGGGATATAGTGACTTAAAGAAAGAATAAAATACAGAATCAAATATATGAAATGTACAAACTATATACAATTAAAAGTAGAATATGGTATTCTTGTGTATATCTGTACATGTGCAAAGTTTCAGAGGTAGTATATCTCTGCAAGCCGAGGATGTGCCAATAAGTTGTAAGCGAGAGGATGTAAGGTGTAACAGGGTGTGACAAAGCCCTGCAGACTGACAGGCAGGCAGAGAGGATGTAGTGGAGGGAGGGGTGGAAGGCCGCAGGGTCACCTTTATCTACGCTGTCTGTGCCCAGAGCCGGGAGGCGGCAGGGGGAGACCTGGGACTTCCAACAGGCTGAACTGATTTCCTGTGCAGGGTCATGCTCAGGACAGGCTTGGAGGACAAGGGTTTAGGACCATGAGGAGTGGTGAGTGGAGCTGGTCATGGTATGGACAGCGAGTTGATGCTATTTTCTGCCATTTCCCTGCTTTTAACCGTCGCTTCTTTCCCTGTGTGGGTGAAGATAAAATGCACACATCTCCTTCACATGATGTGCTTATTTTATAAAGGACAATACTCATTTTTGTTTGATGTGGCAAAGATTTCAATGTCTATTTTGAAAGATTTGCAAGTCTTGGAAAGTCTTTTCAGTGCCCCCTTCCCCCCTCAAGCATAATTAAGCAAGCCACAGCACACAGACATCCACGCAGACTCATAGGAGACTTTGATTCCTCAGCAAATAACATACCCATAATCCTCTACATCTTATGCTCTCTTGATGCAGTATTCATATAAACACTGGTACCTGCGGCAGCTCTGAGATCATAGCACAGCCGTTCTTCCTTTTGCCCACATTTCTGGAATGCATTTACTCAGCTGGGTCCGTGAATTCAAGAGTGCCCTGCTACCTCAAGCTACAGAGGACATGCTTGTCACGAGATTTGAGAAACATATCCGTGTCCCCCTGTGAGTACATCTTAGAACTTCTACTCCCCTCTAATAGAATTATGAGGTTTTTAAATGTGGATAGCCAGACAGTTTGATAAATGCTGGCAACTACACCTAGGCCGAAGTTTACGGGGATGAATACACTCAGAATGTGGGAGGGTAAAAGGTGGCACTGTGGTTGTGATTAACATGACAGCGTGGCCTTTTTTAGCCTCTACGCTCTACTGACCCAAACATGTTAATCTAAGTCATGTTACTCATGTCATTAGGCCTAATATCTAAGGACACTAATCATTTTAAATTTAAAGGACCTCTTCCTTTCTGCACAAGCAGCCATGTCTTTGCAATTTGTCTCCAGATGCAGACTGGAATTTTCATTTTGTTCATACGCTTTTATGACTCTCTTGGTAAAGAGAGGAATGTAGTTTGAGAGTATTGTCTGCACACTGGAGTATGAATAAGATTGGTTGATTAATGAAGAAAATGGTTTCCTGTTGGTTTATTAATGCCGGTTCATTGACAAGAACATTTGGTAGGTTTGTCAGCTTTTCGCTATTTGTTATTGAAATAATGATGGAAGTTAGACTTCATACCAGTAAAGATTCAAGCAAGATTTTGAGCTCACTTGGAACCATCATTCACATGCCATCTTAACTCTGTATTTCTTTCTTCCTACGCTTGGATCTGTAACATGTACTGTGGACACATTTAAATTTCAGAGCTCAAAATGGAATCAAATGGGGCTTATGAGGCCTCTCAAACCAAATGGACCTCATGTTTACACACTTGTCCTTCAGCTGAACTGCGTGCGGCCTCAGGTATCCTGACAGATGGTGAGATGTCCCCAAAACCAGCGGTACCGTGTCTGAACCTGGTAAGTACACTGTGTTTAGAGGATGTTTGTTGAGATTGGAGATAAGGTGTCAGTCTCAAAAGCCTTTTATCTTAATGCTGAGTCTAACGCTTTCTGAGGGTAGTCAGTCTGTTTTGAGCTGCATGGTATAAAATCGTGTGCTCTGTGTCATGGGCAAAGCAGATTTTTCTGCTTTCACTCTAAATGTTGTTATTATTTTTATATTGACTCTCATCAAAACAGTTGTCAATTGAGTTCAAGGAAAAGCCCCACAAAGATTTAAGAATTATAGTGCATTAATTAAAACTGTATTTCACTGCAAGCAGGGGATGTTATGACCTTCATAGTAATTGTTTTGCTGTTTCCATCATTTTTGAAAGACATTCAGTATTAATTTAGTGCAACCACAGGAAATCAGCAACATAGTTTAAACACAAGGAAATGGTGAACTACTGGCCTATATGTCTGGCAGACGCCTGTAATGTATAGTACCGAAAAGAGTTTGTTTTTTTCCCTTTTTAGACCTCCCATTGGTCCATTATACTTTAGATTGCCGATCGAATATTCATTTTGTTTAAATTAAGATTTTAATTTGAGAGTCCTTGGTTTAAAATTAACGTTAATTTAATATATAATTAGAATACAATTTCTTAAGTTATCTCTATATCTCTGTAGCGTAAATACGATATAGGCCTAGGCCTAACTGCCTCATATGCAATTACATCTATTGATGAATGCCGGCGCATTTTCAACTGACCATTATGGGTCTGGGTCTGTTTAAAAACAAAGCCAGCGAAAAATATAGGCCATCAGGTGGACAGTTAGATAAATGATCTCACTAGATTTTCACATTTTGTTTATAGCAAAGCCTATTCAATTATGATAATTGCGTATGGATTTGGGTCTCAATTAACCTATTATCCAAAATGAGTTTTACCTCTGCTGATTTCCACATGCTATGTAGGCCTAACTGCGTAGTAAGAAATCTTTTGTATTTTTCTCAGATTTTCTTCTCTTTTTAATATGAGTCTTTTCAATAGTTTGATGAGTGTGCTGAATTTTAATGTAAAATGCAATGTCTTCACTTTCTGGTTTAGCGGCAGAAGGACACCTGTAGGCCTGTTTATTGACTTTAGAATAATGCATCGAATTGATAGGAAAAATTTTTTTAAAATCGCTGTTAAACTGATCGAAGACCATAGTTCGTGCAGAAATGTTTAATAGACTAAAAGGAAGAAAGTCTCAGTCTGATAGAGAGAAAAAATCGCGCCCGTTATGCCATGGGGTGTAAAGTTTTAAAAAATAATGTTAAAATGAAATGAAATAGTTATATGAAAAAAGTAAAAAAAAAATAAAAATAGACTGTCATCATGGCATTCAGTAAAAAAGTGTATTTTTAGTCGGTCAGTTTCCCTGCCTAAACTGTTGCGTGTGCCGTCTGCGTCTCCTGTCCTGCTTGATTTGGTGATTAGGCCCATAACAATATATGAAATAGGAATTAAATGGTTAATTGGAGGGACAGAAACCACACGTGATTGAATTTTTGGCGGATTATATCAGACTGCTGGTTGATGTAACAACACCCCGCCACACACACACACACACACACACACTCTCTCTCTCTCTCTCTCTCTCTCTCTCTCTTTCCCTCTGTGTCTCTCGTACACACGCACGCACACACACTCCAATCCCGGTTTCACGGGTCTTTGTTTCTGATCTGTTAAATCCCACCCACTTGACATGAACACAGAAGAGGAAAAAAAAACTCTCACTCAGGCGCCCACACTATCAGCGCCCAGTCGCTGTTGTCTGTGCTGCCTGCTGGACCCGTAAGATGGACACGGAGAGTTGTTTGCCTTTCTCTTCGCAGACCAGCAGGAGGACGCCAGAAAACTCTCCGGGACTGGAGCACGGCGGCTCCGGCTCCTTTCTTTCCTGCGATGAGCTGCAGAAACCCTCGCACCTTCCCCCTCCTCTTCCTCACCGTCTCAGCCTGCGGGGGGATGTGTATGCTGCCGCCATGGGCAGGTTTGGTGATGCTGCGGCGGACTTTACGCACGGCGCTGCGCCGGCGAACCCGCCCGCCTCACCATCCAAACACAGCAAGTTCTTGGACAGTATAAACCAGGATCAAAAGGGGACGGCGATAAGCGGCAAGCCGACGTTTTACGAGAGTAATTCGGAAGGTAAGTTTATAGAGAATGTGTGTGTTACAAAAAGAAAAGAAATGCAACTGACCATATGTAAAAGTAGGCGCAACAACAATATCTTTAATAACAACGATCTTTGCTTGTTTTTCGTATTTGTCTGAACTACAAAGCGCCTTTGTTTGACAGGACACTGTGTTTTTTTATTAAAAGGCATTTAAAAATTAAAGTAGTTTTTATAGCCTACAAAACTTTCTTTTGTGCTGAAGACAATCCCTGCATTACCATATTTCCCCCCTTTTTTGACATTTCCAAAATAAAATAATGGCCATCCCCTACAGGATAAGTAAAAAAAAATCTAAATGAATTGATGAATGGATGAAATAAAATATGAGAACGATAATTATCCTTGGCAATGCCTTGTTAAATTTTATAAGAATTAAATGACACAAATCTAGTGGATCAGTTTTCCAAGCTTTTTTCTTCTTCTTTTTTTTTGCAGTCTTCAATTTGCTGTTTACAGACTTTGTAGCCTAAATGTGTCATTTCAACTAGCAGGCTAATTACAAAAAAGTGTTACTTGATTTTTACTGGTTATGTAAATGAAAGCATGGTTGTGATAAAAATGTCAACAAGATTTCTTTAACTTGACAGTCCATGATGTAAAGTGAGAGAGGTTAAAGGTCAGCCTGGCAGCAAGTTGGGTGTGTCATTAGGCTACTAGTCAGCTATCAGGCTTTCAGGCCAACGTTCAGCTTAATATTTCTGTATTTTAGCCCTTAGACTGATGTTTCTCATTCTCATATTTTTAAATTTTTGGTAGTCTTTACCACATCAGGAGTGAATTTTGCAAGCTGGCGTGCTCCCAAAGGCTGTCAGCCTAGTAGCCTGTAAATGTCCATCTTTGGAAGAAAACTAATGATTGGATATGTTGAACTGCAGCCTGAAGAAATGTTGTTGTCCTTCACTTTATTTATTGGTGTTGATGATTCTGCAAAGCAACAGAGGATATGAGTGCTGATAAGGTCTTTGTGATATCTGTGTCCAGAATAATATACAACAGCTTGATTCATGTTACTGCCAAAGACAGCCAATAGACTTTTTTTCACCATTAGTTATGATAACTATATTCCAGTTTAAAGTGGACTTTTATTACTTTTCCTAGAAATTGTGTTTAAATAAGAGAAGGCATACATGGTTTCCCCATAACTCTGTCGAGCATGCGCTCACCCACACATATGCGCATATGCAAGTTTAATTTAACTTATTATTAAATTACTGGGTATATCACTATAAGCGATTAGGGCTTTGCATGTATGCACGTGCACAGTAGATACTGCGTGTTTGCATGTAACCATACTATTCACTGATGTGTTTTTGAGTTTGGGTTCAGACACCTTCAAAGGCAGACACGTCTTCCTGTTTTGTCTACAGTGAGAGGAAAGTTTAGTGATGGTGGGACAGGCCAACACATTTATAACCCTTGGATCATCTTCACACTTTGAAATTTTAATTTAGTTTTTTAATTTAGTTTTAATCAAGTTTGTTGTTTGCAATCAATTTTGCAATCGTAATACAGATTTTGTCATTTTTTAATCAATGGGATTGACTTTGTTTTCATAGAATTGCTTCTCCATTGAATTTTTATAATGCAAACTTGTATTTTTCCAATGAAAAGGGCCTAAATGTTTCTCACTGTTACAAATAAACGGGTGTCTGAATGTAAAAAATAATAATTTTTTGCGTTTACTTATTTGGGAGATTTTACTCTTCTTGTTTATTAAGATATGTCGTACTGTATTTGCTATATTGCTAAATTCTGGTTTACATGTATGATGTTCCCAGTGTGAGATTTATTTTTTGTCTTTATATTTATGGCATATCTGACACCAAATATTCCAGACTAAATGTATCCATGGGCACAAGAAATCTCTTGCCTTATTTATATTGTCTTGTATAGAAATATGCACAAACAAATACATCTTATTTCTCCAATAAAATAAAATAATCCTTCACTATTTAAATAATTTTGTGAACTCAGCAGCATGAACTCAAGTTCAGATCTTGCAAATCCCCAGCTAGATGCTGAGATTGTTCTTTTTTAATTATCTTCTCTTTTTTTTTTATCTGCTAAAGTAACTACGGCAGATGAATTTAAAGCCGGTGGATGTTCTACATTTATTAAAGAAACAGGATGAAACATATGGTTTAAAGTTTTGCACAAACTGAAAACCTTTATGTATGAAGCAAGAGGTCTGGAAAAGAAGCTTAAATTTCTACCACGACTATTTCCGTGTATTAGAATTGATCCCCTGTGCTCACAGCATGATATCCCTACCTATACATTTTGAATGTATCCTCTATTTGCCTTTTCCCGCATTTCACATAGATCTCCAGTTACGCTGGAGTGGAGGCAGAGCGGATGTGGGTGCTTGACAGCGTAAAAGCTATACAATGTCCTGCAGCCCCAGTTTCCAATTTTAACGGGGAATATTTTCAGCATGAATTGCGGTGTGAGGTGGGATCTAATGGACACGAGGAAATTAATGTTGCAATGAAAAGTGCTCTCTGTTGGGCCCCATATTGAATTAGGAAAATACCAAAGTAGTGTCTCAGCTGCCCCCAGCGAGTGAGTGCCTGCAGATAGATGGAGAATGATTTTGTTTTGGAGCTCAGGGTTAAACATAATGAACATGGACAACAACATCCAAACACTGCAGGAGGGAACAGCCCTTTCCATGGCCTGTTAACAGGAAAGGAAGTAATACTTTCAGATTTCCCCTTACTGCTGAATGTAAAGGCCAGAATGTATATTAATTCAAACAAGCATAGGCTGTATCAACAGATAACTCTGTCATAATAATAATTCAGTGCTGTATCTTGATTGTCTTACTCTTAATGTGAATATTTTGACGTGAACATTGCAATAAGTTTCCCTTGTGTCTGTGTGGAAGGTGACCCTAAAAGTTTCTTTTCTATATTTCCAAATGAAACAAATCAAATTTTGTTTTTCACTTATCGCCCTGTGGGTTTAATTCAAGCCAACAAACAGAGAGTTCACTGCCTAAATATGGGTTGTCTGAGCTAATTAAATTATAACACTGTTGGGTTGAATTAGTGTTGTGTGTTGCTTTTCTCAGGCATCTCACAGGCTCTTATGGCAGTTTGAGTTTGGGAATTAAATAGAGAAGCTTAAAAAAACAAGCGGGAGATTAATGATTTTCAGTGATACCTCACAAACAAAATGGTTGATGTGATACCCTGTTTCATTAACAGCATGCAGGATTATTGTGTGTTGTTATTAAAATATTAAAACCAATGGGTGCCAGAACCATATCCAGGTGAAAATGTGCCAGTTAAAAAAAAACAATTTCTCAGGCGGTGAAAATGGGACTGGTTGATCGTTCAGCTGTTTGCACCGGTGCCTCACATGCAAAGAGATTTGATTTTCAGCACTGACCATTACTATACAACAGTCGTGCGTTTCTCTGGCTCCAATTTCCTCACAATTCTAAAAGATATTTAAGTTGCCTATGGGTGTCAATGTATATCTGTTATATCCTGTAAAAAAAGGCTGCTGATTTGTTTGTGGTGATTCTCGGGGTCCTGCACGATCTTTCTGCAATATTTTCCACAAAAGAAGTACACCAGGGGTATCTTTAATTGATCCTTTATTTAAACACTGAGATCAATAATATTTTTAAAAATGTTTAATCATTTCTAAATTGATGCTTATGAATTTGACAATAACAAATGCTAGAATTTGCATATGAATTTAAAAACACTGTCTGCCTTTTTCTGTGTGCCCCTCATGCCTCAGTCAGAGGGAAAGGAGCTCCAAAGGCCATGGGCTATCCTGGTATTGTCACAGACTGTTGTGGCAAACTCAAAGAGACAGGCATCACTTTACATGGGGACTCTATCGCTGACTCCATCGACTTATCAGGCAAGAACAAGAAGCGGCGCAATCGCACCACCTTCAGCACATTTCAGCTGGAGGAGCTGGAGAAAGTGTTTCAGAAGACGCACTACCCTGACGTGTACGCCCGGGAGCAGCTGGCCCTGAGGACTGAGCTCACAGAGGCTCGGGTTCAGGTCTGTTAGGGCAACAATCTCATATTTTACAACATTTCGTTTTATAACTGTAGGCAGAACAGAGTTAATGGCCTGAACAAGACCTGTAATCTTCTTTTGATACAGTATTTTTTTGTATTTGAAAGGTTTGGTTCCAGAACCGGAGAGCCAAGTGGAGGAAACGGGAACGCTATGGGAAGATCCAGGAGGTCCGCAACCACTTTGCCACCTATGATATCTCTCTTCTCCCTCGCCATGACACATACCAGGTGGGCCACTGCAGATCTTAAATGACGTACATGTTGTGCTACACGTAATGAATGATCCTCCTGTGTGTTTTTTATGCTCAATCCCACCTTTGCTGATATTATATAATGATTTGGTGTGGTGTGGATTTGTTGATATTCATTCCACCAAATTCCAAATGTGATCTGTCCTAAATCTCTCATTGTCCAGATGCAGGGCAACCTGTGGCCAGGGGCGGCTTCAGGAGGAAGCGGTGGCTCAGGTGCTGGCTGTGTCCTGGGAGCTGACTCCATCCCCTCGTCCTGCATGAGTCCATACGCTCACCCCCACAGCAATCTGCAGGGCTTCATGGGCATGCCCACATCCCCAAGCCATCCCCACCACCACCACCCACCACACCATCCGGGCATCAACGGCCTGTACTCGCTCCACAGCTTCCCAGGAGGCCTCGGGTCCCCTTCCATCGAGGGGCCCGACACTGAATATAAGCCGACGGGCCTGGTGGCGCTGCGGATGAAAACCAAAGAGCCAGGCAGCATCCTCTCCTGGCCTACATGACCACAACAGTGCCAGCTCCCCATTATGCACTGACTGAGCCAAAGCATATTACATTTCTGACCCATACACAACCCCCAATGTACACACCCACCTCAGCATATGAATAATATTTCCTCTTAACAATTATATAAGCCAACTCGGTGACGTTAAACATTTCAGAAGATAGTGGAACAGGAATGTCATGAAAATTGAGGGCATTGAGCCTCTTGCGCAAAAACACCCAGCGTATTATTAGGTACTTTATTGTTTCCAGTTTTACTTTGATATCACAATGCTGAGACCAAAGAGGAAAAACTATTTAAGCATGTAAAAATTGTAATTATCATATTAATCATTTTTTTTGTCTGTCGTGCTTTGTAGTGTGACCATTAATAAAGGCCTCAATCTAAATAATCTGTCTTATTCAGTAGGAAACTATTTTTGGGAAAAGAGATGGAACAAAATCAATCTTAGACAGAATTATTCTAGCCTTGACATTAAAAAAAAAACAAAAAAACAAAACGATAACCAAAAGTCTGTGTCACACATTTAACTGGGAATGCGGTGGCGAGGCAAAAATGCTTTGCAGGCTGTGGTTGCCATAAACACAAAGATTTCTGCTGTGCAGGAAGTGAGCTTCTTTGTATTCGGGAAGTGCAGCCTTCTTGGCTTGGCTTCAAGAGGCCTTCAGGTGGCACTTCATGTATCAGGAGCGAGTGGCAGGTTCATTAATGGAAAGCTAACTCAGCGACCACACTTCAGTATTGATGATAAAGTAGAGAGCCTCCCACAGACGGCTGGCTTTCCATTGAGACAGGCATTTCACATTCACATCTGGCGACAGTGGTAAACCCGAACAACTGAGTAATGAGTTACAGTTTAATCGAAGAACTTGGGGTTACCATGGACCAGACCGTATTTTGTTTGGTAATATTATTCACAGAAGCCAGTTCATCTGCTTTCTGCTTTTATTTATAAGTATGTGTGTGTTCATGTGTTGTCTTTTCAAAAAAAACTAATACAAATATAACAAACTAAATATGCTGCTGTAGCTTACTTGGTCTCACATGTATTCTGAATGCATTTCTAATAATTGTTTTCAGGAAAACTCCTTGTTGTGCTTTACCCCAAACTGTTTACTTTATTGTCAAGGAAACACTGAATTGCACGGTACCATCCCATCTGGTGTAAATTACTAAATACCAACATATTCATGTCAGATGTGCAAACATTTCAATCTGTGTGAGATTGAAAATGTAACTTGAATTGAGGTAAAAGTTCCACTGGTGGACAAAGCCCTCCCAAGCTCCATTTACTCCCCGGGAGTGTACATGTCTTATGGGGGAATATTGGCTCTCCTTTCCTTCGCTTGCTTCACAGTGACAGCCAATGCAGGGGCGGATTAGCTGCCATTCCCTTTAGTCTGTGCCGGGGTTTTGTGTGAGCCACTAACATGTGGTTCCAATAGAAGAATGCACAAACCCATCAGAAACAATTTCCACACCCACAGCTTCAAATTCCAGCCAGGCCCTGGGAGATGGCAGTCCTTGCTGCAGTTACATAGCCTCCCTTATTAAATCCCAGATTAAGTGGAGAAGATAAGAAGACCTGTCAGTAGGGATAAGGGATTGAGGCGATGGCCATCTTTAGGAAAGCTGAAGAAATAGCAGATGGATGGATCAGTGCTCAATTGTAATATTTATTCTTAGATAGGGAGCAGGTTAATCAAATGTATCTGTCCAGAAACACAAGAGGAAACTTGGTGGCTTAGTGAATTTGATATATTAACTCTCTAACACTGTCAGGACAGTTGTAATAGAATAACTTACAATATTATAAATCTGGTATTGTTTATTCCACTTTCAAAAAGGAACAATTACCTCTTCAATAGGCAGTCATAAGTTTTAAGTTGTCATTCTAGTTACAGTGGTGTGGCATAAGCTTTTATCTGTATTGACTCAATATATCAGGCTACAAAAGTCTTGTATGATTTGTCAGAAAAGAAATGAAAAAGACTCCACGATGCTGGGGGTATTTATTAACTAAGCATCACTCTGTGTCCCAGGGTCATTGGGTGAAAACTGTCACTAGAGTCTGGAAATTACTATACCCTTAGCCTCCTGGACAAAAAAAAATATGATTTAATGCTCATTAAAATCTGTAAAACTGCCTGCTGGCCACTGTTCTGAGCTTTGATCTCAAGATTTATCTTGGCCTTGAAGTGCAGCTATTTTGACACAACAGATCCTTGTATTTGAAGTAGTCAAACTGCATCAACATGTCCCACTAAGCTAAACAATGTGGTAGCACAGTGTGGCCAACTCAGTAACACAGTCAAACAGTGGAGTGAGGCAAGTTCAACACAATTTGTATTTGGCTGCTACCAGACATACCATCAGTATTTCTTCATTTAGCAGTTCATCAACTACAGATTAATAGGCGCCTATTTGCATTTCATTGTACAGTGTGCACAAAATGTTTTCACACATCCAGAAGTGCAAAAAGTGGTTAATAGGAACAGTAAACTCAGGTGTGTTATTTTATTTTAGCATGATTCAAGTAAAGGTTTTACTCATAAATAGGGGGGAAATAACTAAAATAAAGCACAAGGAAAGGCCAAGTAAGGGTAGTCTGTTTTCATTTTGCCTGCAACTTCAATGGTGTTACCCATTGAAAGGCACCAACAAATGTAGTGACCTAAAATACCTACAGTATTTAACTTATTAACTTAAAAGGCTGTTCATAGCACATTTTATCTACACAAAAGTCCTACAATTATGACTGGAGCCTACATAAGAGAAATTACAACTACTTTGTCAACACCTTGCTTTGTCCACGGAGAAAGGCCATGTGCCTATCCAAGGTCATTTTTAAGGATTAGTTAAGGCCTTATGGGCTACTGTGCCCTTTGAACTGCTGTTCAAGTACTGCCACCTTGTGGTATTAGGTATATCCCTCCACACCATGATAACCCCCCCCCCCCGTCCTCCTGTCAAATTCTAGATTATGGTTTATTATCACAAAATCTAGTCATTACACATGTTTCGTGTGTGCTCTCCATAAAAGGAAATAAAATTGAATGGGGATGGGCAAAAAATTGATACATTCAAATAGCCCTGGGATAAATTGTAAATCTCTCTCTAAATACTACCTTGTTGTGTTCAAAATATTTAGCATTGTGATGTATTGTAGGTGTCATGAAAGTGTTGAATTCAGCATATTGTAAAGCGTTCCAGTTATCTTGTCCACCTCCTTCACTTCGTTACAAAATTTGAAATACAAAACACAAATAAAATTCGTTTACATTTTAACGTGTCAGAGGATGATTGACACCCGTTTTAAAGTTTTCAACCCACTTTTCCAACCAATCAGGTCGAAGGGGCGGGTCCTCACCTAAGTCTTTACAAAATGGCGACTGTTGTTGTTTTGCCGCAGGGTCAGTGAATAAATCCGTTTTTTATTTCAGTAATTTTCTGCAATATTTTGCAGAAACTGCAATAAAAACCCAGACGTCCCAAGGGTCGGCTCCGTGTGGACTGAAATGAAAGGTAAAGAGCGGTCGCCGATTAAAAAACGCTCTCGGGCCTTGGACGATATTCGAGACAGGGGAGGATGCCACCCGACCAGCAAGAAAATGGGGGCTCTCTCCGTTTCCAGTGGGAGTAATAATGGAAATAGCTCGACCAAAAGCGACGGCGGGTCGACGAGAAGGAGTCTGCTCGGTGATAAAAGAGACCGAGATTTTGACGGTCATAGTCGGACTGGAAATAACCACAGCTGTCAGTCTGCCGCTGCTAGCTCCCTCGGTAAAAACCACAACCTAAGCCTGACGCTGGATTTAGCCTCACCGAGGACCACTTCACGGGGGGAGCAGCGGATTCAGCCGCCCAGCGCCGAGAGTGAGTACAAAACCCTCAAAATAAGCGACCTCGGCACCCAGCTGAGCGACGAAGACATAGAGGACGGACTATTTCATGAATTTAAAAAATTCGGCGATGTGAGCGTTAAGATAAGCCGTAGCAACGACGAACGGATAGCGTTCGTGAATTTCAGGAAGCCGGAGGACGCCAGAGCTGCTAAGCACGCCAGGGGACGGCTGGTGCTGTACGACCGTCCGCTGAAAATAGAGGCAGTGTACATAAACAGGAGGAGAAGCCGCTCCCCTGTGGAAAGAGACTTGTATGCTGCAGCACAGAGCCATAGACATTTGCAGAGACCCCTCTCGCCCACCGGGCTTGGATATAGAGACTATCGGCTACAGCAGCTGGCACTGGGGCGGCTCCCTCCCCCCCCGCCGCCCCCTTTGCCCAGAGAACTGGAACGGGACAGGGAGTTTGCTCTGTTTGAAGCCAGGGCACGTCCAGCTTTCATTGCAGAGCGAGCAGCTTTTCGTGAGGAGGATTTTATATCTCCAGAAGATGACCAAAGAGCCAACAGGACATTGTTTTTAGGCAATCTGGACATAACTGTTACAGAAGCAGACCTGCGGAGAGCTTTTGACAGGTTTGGGGTCATAACTGAAGTGGACATTAAAAGACCCACACGAGGACAAATCAGCACATATGGATTTCTGAAATTTGAGAACCTTGACATGGCACACCGTGCTAAGCTTAGTATGTCTGGCAAAATAGTGGGCCACAACCCCATAAAGATAGGCTATGGGAAAGCAACTCCCACCACACGCCTGTGGGTGGGTGGACTTGGACCCTGGGTTCCTTTAGCCGCCCTAGCAAGAGAGTTTGATCGCTTTGGTACTATAAGGACCATTGACTACAGAAAGGGGGACACTTGGGCCTACATTCAGTATGAAAGTTTGGACGCTGCACAAGCGGCATGCACACACATGAGGGGCTTCCCGCTGGGAGGCCCGGAGAGAAGACTTAGAGTGGACTTTGCTGACACTGAGCATCGTTACCAGCAGCAGTTCCTGCAGCCTCTTCCAATCCCACCTTTTGACATGGTAGCTGAGTCATTTGTTCACCGTGCCACTCCTGAACCTCTGAGGGTCAGGGAACGAACTCCACCGCCTCTTCACTTCAGGGAGAGAGAGCTCTTTCCTGGAACTGAGTGGCCCAACCCAGCAATTCGTGATCGGGTACGGGCCTCACCCTTTGAGCCTCTGGAGCACCTGGAACGTGAGCGGCGGGCACGGGAGCCCTGGTCTTTGGAACAAGAGCTGCAGGGACGAGAACCAGCACGCAAGCGGCGTGTAATGGAGGATGGACGCCATATAGACCACTCACCTGACAGCACTGAGAGGACTGTAAGGCGTAGACGGGCTTCTCCAGATGGTAGTCCTGGAGGTAGCAGCAGAGATGGAGGCCGCTTCAGTGACTCAGAGCGCCCGCTGCGGGGTGAGAGACCCTCCCCTGCACGCGAACATCACAGCAGCCTGGAAAGAGCTGGGGCTGAACGGAGACTCAAAAGCCAGAGTCTATCTGAC